AATCGAATTATAAGATAATAAGATATTACCTTTTTTGGATGTTATGTTTCCCCCGTTTCGACTCCCGCTGGGGATGATGGATGAAAACAACTTTTGTGGAAAATTTTTACTACCAGTGCTTCATCACCTTAAATGAAATAGGGTGAATACATCTCATACTTATAGTGTTAAGGTAAGTGTAATGAAATCAATGATAATAAGAAGTTTACATATTTTGAACTTAAATATTCTAGAACAGGAGTTAGAAAGGCTAAGAAAAATCTTAGTTGGAAACAATTATCTGGTAGGATTAATTGTAAACAATTTCAAAATATTGAGAAATATGGTGAAGAATAAACCAAGGAATAAGACAACTTTTTGCCAGGTTTCTAATGCTACCATGCAGCAAATTTTTAAGAAAGATAGGCAAATTACTGAGAAAATAGATTGTCAATACTATGTATAAGGAAACAATAACGCTTTACTCGATCATGCCTTCTGTTGGAGAATCTTCAGCCGCCCTCTTCAAATCAGGTTATTATAAGGTTTGGGGCTCATGTGGTCGGGATTATGTGGGGGAGATTTGTCGGCCCCTACATAAGAGGCTATCAGAACACAGAACCGGCTGCAAAGGATTATGGATTCAGAAATGAAAAGTGGCTGAACACGTGGTCGTTACAGGACGCGAAATAGAGTGGTCTAAATCCCTACGTTTCGCCGGATACGGGGACTTCACAGCTAAGCGGAAGATCAGGTATTCGTTTGAAATTAGCAAAACAAAGAACATCCTGAATAAGAGTAATGAATATAGGAAACTAAGTAGGAGCTATCTCTGGCTTCTAAATAGAATAAGAGAGAGACAGAGAGACAGAGAGAGACAGAGAGAGAGAGAGAGAAGGAAAGGGAACAGGAAGAGCCACTGAGTAGAAGACTTGAGCCAGTTTTTGCACATAAAATGGTCAACTAATTCACGGTTGTTGCATAAACACGCAAACACGCATGTACGAAGCTCTGACAAGACCCAGGACGACTGGATCATACTCTAATTTATTTACATTGACAAAAGTTGTGACCACATCGGCTCACCTGCCTGCATCACGTTGACCCATTGACATGCATGTAGGACAAGCATACGTCAGCCGACCAAATCACGGAATGCCTCATTAAGATCGCAAAGTGAGGTATAAAAAGTAAGTGCGATATTAGCTGGCCACCTTTGTCGGTTTAGTGTTCTTTGGTCTTTTTTCGTGAATAATCTTTTCTGGCTCTGCGATGTCCGCCACAGGACCGACGAAAGCTCAGCACCGAGTCATCGGGGTAGCAAGACGGTCAGCCGAGATCTTGTTGGCACAATTCAACAGACAAAAGGCCAAGGCAACCCTCCTGCGGTATCCGGCGCGGCCAATCTACGAATACCTTCGACCCGCCGTCCCAGACGAAATAAAAGGCACCCCATTATCAAGTAAAAATAAGTTTGCATTTTTTCAGGCAGTCGCAATGGCAGGTTATTTCTGTCAGGTTGGGCCCCCGACCAGAGTTTCAGGTTCACCTCGGCCCAATTATCAGCCCCAGCGCCCCAATGCCCGAACTCGAGTCCAGTTCGCGATAGTGCCTAAGCCATGCAGGCCTCATTCCACTCGACCAAGCATTCGCGATGGAAAGCCCGGATCGATCGCTCTTGTCACTTGCGCCGAGAAGCTAGTTGAACGGTGAGTCAGACAGAGAGATCGATAAACAGATGGGCTAAACGAAGTATGGACAGGAGGAAGGTGTTTTAATCGGCCGACTGAGGCATAGGGCTTGAGCATTGTGTGGGTGATGGTTGTGACTGTGCTAACCTGTCACCGCGACTCAGTCGAGGGGATTCATAATGCGAGCGACAATGTGTGGAGCCCGCTAAACAATAGCGAAAAGGGTGACTCAGAGAGATGGAGCAAATTGGGTGAGAGAGCCCGGCTGGGGTTCCGAAAATAGGGCTTTACGGCGGCACGGCAAGGCTGAATGGAAGAGGCATGGTCGGTGGAGGATTAGGCCGTATAGACCTGAGCACCGTTACACGAACGAGGCATCTGCCGCGTATTATATGCCTTTCCATCGGCCGGAGGCCGTAGGAAGGCTCGGATTGGCTGAAGGCGTTTGAGATCAAAATACACTCTAGGCCAGGCTGTGCAGAGAGAGCGAGAGAGACCAAGAGAGGGAGAGAGAGGGAGGGCGAACCAGCCCTAGAACGAGCAGACTCTGATCCCTGCTCAAGTGTCTGCATGCGTTGACAAATGGCCATACAAATTTGGCAAGTCGTTTTGCGCTGTCTTCGATCGATTTGCAAACCCGGGCTAAACCGCCTCGTAGGCGAAAACGCTGGCAGGCCAGGACACTCGCGTGGCTCTGATAGACGCTGGCAAAGTCCGAAAATTAGACCACAAAATGGAGAGCCCAAGACTGGTGATGAAATTAGGACGTTGCAAAGGCACGAATGTGTGGATAGATAAATAGATGGTTGCATAAGCAATTAACTTGATGTTATGGTTGAGAGAAGCTGTCAGATGGGTAGCTGTGCGGGTTGGTAGATTGGGTGGTCTGTGGCCGGACGAGTGCGCGAATATATATGAAATAAAAGCGAAATGGACCTGAAGGAGTCCGAAATACAAGTCGACAGACATGCAGAAATAAGCACAAACGGGCTCGTGGATAAATATAGAATGCGGGTTAAATTGGATCTTTTTTGCGCTGACCCTCATTTACTGGGACTGTGTGAAATGCTTCCAGATGTACTCAAGCGATAAGTTTCTTGCCATAGCGAGATGAATAAGCCTCAACATACTATGCAATTCCACTGGCCTTGCTTCGCGAAAGGCTATCTCGAAGCCTACTTACATTGAAGATGAATGGCGTCGTCGATTGTAATGGAAATCGCACAATAAATGTGATTCTAGTGGGGTTTGGCTTGCTTTAGGTAAGTGGGTTATGTCTGTTCCTTAGCCAACTTGCACTCA